AAAAAAAAAAAAAAAAAAAACTCTAAACCCACAGTTCCAAGAAGCTCAATGAAGCAGAAGAAACAAATAAAACTACACTAATGAGCATCATAATCAAGTTGCTCAAACCAGAAATCTTAAAAGCAGCCACTGACATTATAAAGACCTTCAGCACATTCTTCTTAGGATTTCCTCTCCAGACCACTTTTACCCTTTCTCCTGTATTTCATATATAGAATTTCATGAAGAATATCATAATATAAGTAGAAACCAATTTTACATTGGTTAGCCTTAATTATTGAGTTCTACCTTCTGTTTAGGAAGGTGGGAAGATTCTTTCCCATTCTCTGCTATTCTTGAAGTAAAGACAAGGATTGTCATAAATGAAAGCAACACTTACTGAGTAGTTTTATCAGTTATTTTTCTTATAGCACCTTATAAAATCTTTGCAACGATCCTGTGCTATCCCAATTTTATAGATGCAAGAAAAGGCTCAATCAGCAAAATATCCAGTGTAGCGCAACTAGAATGTGTAGTATCTAGCTGATTCCAAAGTACACACTTTCTAGTACTCGAGGTTAAAATTTTAGATTTTAAATAAAAAAATGCCTTGACTAAGTGGAAATTATCCCCATTACCTAACTAGTAGATGTTATCGTTGTCTCCTCAACAAGGATTCTGTAACTTCTTAATTTTGCATCTATTTTCCCATCCACCATAGGGCTTTAGGGATTGATCCCAGCTCCTGAGGTGGATTTTGATTAGTCCAAGCTAGTCTGGGTGTCCCAATATTCTTGCTTACAGCAGAGATAACCAGGCTAACACTCATAAACTAGTACCTTGACTTGGGTCTTGTTCAGGATAAACATATAGCCACCTTTTGCGATGAGCAATAAACATAAGGTTTTTTGGGGCAAATTCTAAAAAAAGTTTCCTCACTTTAAAAAAAGGCAATAGAGTGATGGTCTTCCCCTCTCATGAGATGCAAACAAAGAAACATGCAGTAGCAATTACAATTAGCAATTATCCTAAAACCAGCATTGAGATGAAGCCACGGATGGCAGAGAAAGATGGAAATAGCCTGATGTTGTAAATATATAATTATACAAGTAGATTAATCCATCTTGACCTCATCCTTCTTTTGATTTCCCATGAGCTAGTTAAATAAAATTTTTGTTTTTGTTTTTCTGTAATGGTGGTTATTGTTTCTTAATGTTTAACGCTACAATTTACCTGAATGCCAAGACAAAATTAATCTTGATTTAATTTGAAGTAGGAATAAGGGATGAGCAAGACGAAGGTAAGCCCCAATATCTTAGGGAGCAAGCCTAAAATTGTGACCTGGGATGGTAGAGATACAGGAAAAGTAAACATGTAAAGAGGATGCCATTATTTGGCATATTTCACATTGTTTCCTTCTGTGGCTTGAACATGTGTCCTACCCAAAATTCATGTTGAAGCTTAAATCCCTACTGTATTTGGGGAAGTGATTATATCCGGAGGGCTCCACACTCATGAATGGATTAGTTCCTCATAAAAAGGCTGGAGGAAACTAGTTTCTTCTGTTCTTCCCATCTTCTACCACGTGAGGACATAGTGTTCATCGCCCTTTGCCTTTTCTGTCATTTCTGCTATGTGTTGACACCTAGCCAGTGCTATATATGAGGAACAGGCCTTCACCACACACCAAACCTAGTAGCAGCTAAATCTTGGATTTCCCAGCCCCAGAACTGTGAGAAATAATTTTTGTTGTTTACAAATTCCCTAGTCTCAGGTATTTTGTTATAACAGCACAAATGGGCTAAGAAACTTTCTATAAATAACTCTTATGTCAATAGATCATTGCCTTGGCAATTTTAGCTGAGATGCCACTTTTCAAGATGGTGCTTATAGATGCAGTCTTTTTATGCCCCTACACCCCTCCCTGTTCTACTGTCCCTTCTGCTAGCTATTCTTGTGTGGAAGAGAGTGGCAGGGCATTTCAAATTGCATTGAGGGTGAACTTAGATTGTGTTTGGAGCAGATATTATAGATATAAAGTTTATGGAATAATTCAGGGTAAATATCAAATGTATGTGGAGTTTGAGGAAGATCTGGTAATAATTTAAGAGTGTAGCCCATACTTTATCTTGGTACAATATCTAGCACACAGTAGTTCTCAATAGACATGCTGAGTAAAGGAATGAAGGAATTAAAATGAATTAAAAGTTAAATACATGTTTCCCAAGAATAAACTGTTTTAAAGGCCATTATGAGTCAGAAACTGAATTGGCAGCAGCAACTATCAGATAAACTATCTGATTCCTGTCACCTGCTTCTGTGCAAAAGGAAAAGGAGACTATCAATCAATGTTATTGTAACCTGTCATTATTCTTCACAGCTTCTTTTAAAACAACTCTGTCCCTTCTTTTCCCCCAAAGTTGCAAAATAAAAATTAAACTTGCATTTATTCAAGCATCAAACATCCACTGAGCCTTTATTCTGTGTCATCCTTTTGCACACAACTAAGAACATGAATAATTTGGAAACCTTAAAATCATACTAGAGGATATTTGTCATTTGTGAACCTGCAGCCCAGTCCTCACTTTCTGTAATGCAGCTTTAAGGCTTGTATAAAGAAAAACAAACTATATATACATTTTTTTTTACTTTTAGATGCTAATTTTCACACATTTCTCCAAAATTCACATAGACTTTTGCTAGGTTATAATTAGAAGGCAAACAAACACCAAGTCTTACTGGCTTGCGACAACAGTTAATTCTCACTCATTACAAACCGGCAACCTCAAGTCAGCTGCAGGTCTTATCTACAGACCTTCTCTTTTCAGGACCCAGACTGAAAAAACAGCTTCTATTTGAGACATGCCTTTCTCTTTCGGCAATGGGAAAGAGCAAGAGCTTAAATTACCCTTCAAGCTTCTGCTGGGACTTCGTGAACGTCATATTTGCTCAATGCACTGGCCAAAGTAAGTCAAATGCTTCCTTTTCCTGCTCCACCATGAAAGATTTGCTACAAATCTTGGGTGAAGGACAGAGATATACATCTTCTTACAGGAGGGAGTTTAAATATTGGGGATGCTACAGTACATAACTCATTACTTTGGGAGGGAACATGACTAACATAAAAAAGAGACAACATTCCACATTTTTAGCATTTTATTACTTAAATGTAGCTTTTTTGTTAAACAAATGTTTGTTAAGCACCCCTTTTGTTCCATATACTGTTCCGGGTGCTTGTTATGTATTAATGAACAGAATGACAAAAAAAAAAATCTCTACCTTTTTGGAGCTTACTCACTAAACTTTTAAAATAAAATAAGCCTAATAAATGAGCTAATAGTACAGTGAGATGCTCTTTTTCCCTCTTTTTAAATTTAAATAACATTTACAAATAATTAGCAACTTGTCCACTTTTAAGTCATACCACAAACATGGCTGAAAATGTGCACTGCTATTGAGAAATCCGGGGTATAAACAAAAGTACAAGTAAGTACAACATGTCCGCTAAATAACAAGGCTCTCATTCTGTTAGCATCTGTTTCTTAATTATCTTTATATCCAAAGTGTTTGAGGCTCTGTGCCAAGAAATGCAAAATACATCGATTTTTTTTTTGTTCAAGAATGTATGGGTCAGATATTCAAATTAGCTAACAAGTTACTTTTGTTTCATAATAAAATAATTACATTTTAGAACTGGAAGGCACCCGAGAGATTACACTGATCTCTGTTCATTAGGTATAATAGACCCTCTTTATCCCCTTCAAGTGAAAGTATGTTTCCATTAGTCACTCGATCCAAACCTTATTAGGCTGTCAAAACACTTTCATAAAAGAGATGAAATGGAAACAAAACAGTAAGATAAGAGCTTATTCCATATGCCGAACTTTGGTCCTGGGCTCTAAGGTCACCACTGTTTTAGTTTACAAGCTCGGAGATTGCTCCCCAAACCTACAACTTGGTAAGGTAGCTGGCTCCTGAGGAGTGAAGAATCTGACACCCACTGCACTGGAATCAGTCTTTTTCAGCACCCCAAGGCACTTAGCTCTAAAGAACCGCCCAGACTCTCCTTTGCATCTTAACGAGCTCCTCTTTAGAGCCGCTACTGTCTGCTTTTGACAGCCAACCTCAGGGAATACTGACTTAATCCAGGGGTCCCAATAACATTTAATATTTATCTTCCTTTTCCGGGAGGAATCTATATCCATCCAAGTTGCCCAAGTGAGCAGTTCCCTCTCCCAAATAATTAGTTCTACTCCCCAGGGAGTCTGTGGGCGCATCCCTCTGTCCCCTTTGAAATGTCCATTATAGTTTTCCTCTGTAAATATGTCAATACGTATCCAAAAGATGCGAATCTTTAAAAATGTATTCATAATGCTACTATCACATGTAAAAATTAAACATAACTCCTTAATATCATCGGATATCCAGTGTTCAAATTTTTCCAGTCTCATGTTTTGGTACATTTTTAAATAATCATAAGTTTAACTCCTTTTCATCTCCAAGACGTCGATTTCCTCTCCACTCTCCTGGAAGTCGCGCTTCCCTCTTGGTGCTTCCCGCCCTTGCAGTCCGGTGGGAACCTGAGGAGTTTCCTGCAGCAGCAAGTTGAAGAACCACGCGAGGCAACGTGCTGGAAACCGTAGCCAACGGAACTGCAGTCACGCCTCCCATACGAGCTCTGGAGGGAGCACTTTATGTGTTGCACTGAGGGTAGTCTCCGGAAACGCAATTCGCAGCGGACCCCGGAAGCGGTCTTTTGTCTCCAGCTGTGGGTGGCCGAGAACTGTTACACTACGCACGCTGAAGGGGCTGGGTACGTGTTTTCCTTCAGGACCGGGGCGGAGAGGAGCCGGGATCGCGGCAGCAATGGAACAGGCCTCGGAGAGGCGCACGGCCAGCGCGCTGTTTGCGGGGTTCCGGGCCTTGGGGCTTTTCAGCAACGACGTTCCACACGTGGTGCGGTTCAGCGCGCTCAAGCGCCGGTTCTATGTAACAACGTGCGTAGGCAAGAGTTTCCACACCTATGACGTGAGTGACTTCTTTGGTTGGCTTCCCGGGAATCATCCTCCCCGACCCCTAACTCTGTCCTGGAGCAATCCGGTTCTCTCTTCCCATCTACCACGGGCTTCCCTTCTTTAACCCTTCTCTGTCCTGTTAACGTTTCACCATCCGTCACATAACACGTGCTGATTTAGCATTTGCAGTCCTCCTAGGGCGAGTTTCAGAGGCAGGCTGACTAGGGGGAAACTGTTAGACAACATCTCAGTTCTATGGCAATAATATTTGTTCAGTGAATACTTACTGATCTTCCCTTGAAGGTGGAAACAATTACAAACCTCCACCTCTTGCATTCTTAATGAGAGAGAAAAACACGCACGCTATTACTTCATTGGTGACGAGATCTGCGTTAGAAATTCACACTAGGTAGAATACATTGGGAGGATCAGAGAGGGCGAGATTAATTACGGTTAGGGAAAATATCTGATAGCAATCAGTTATTTTCAACTAACGCTAAGTGTCTGGCACTGTCACTCTAAGCCTTGCAGCCATTTCTTGGCAAGGTAGATATCATTATACCGCAGCACCTTTATATTGAACTATAAAGGTAAATTTCGGCCGGGCGCGGTGGCTCAGCCTGTAATCCCAGCACTTTGGGAGGCCAAGGCAGACCGATCACGAGGTCAGGATATCGGGACCATCCTGGCCAACAGGGTGAAACACCGTCTCTACTAAAAATACAAAAATTAGCTGGCCGTGGTGGCGCGTGCCCGTAGTAGTCCCAGCTACTTGGGAGGCTGAGGCAGGAGAATTGCTTGAACTCGTGAGGCAGAGGTTGCAGTGAGCCCAGATCGGGCCACTGCACTCCAGCCTGGCGACAGAGTGAGACTCGTTTCAAAAAAAAAAAAAAAAAAAAGAACACAGAAGTAAATTTCAGAAAAATTGTTACTTGTCAATGATGATTTTTTTTTCCTTTGAGAGCTCATCAATCATTGTAATAATGTCTCTTGTTTACTAATTTCTTTTGTCTTCTCGAAAAGAATGTAAGCTCTGTGAGAGCAGGAACCTTGATGATGAGAATGGTAATAGTGTTAAGTACTTTCTTTTCTGGAAAACATGTTGTAGAGTTGTCTCTGTTGGAGGATTGTGAATATCAAATGCATTATTAGCAAGAAAAGCTGGGAGTTGGGAACCAGTTGAGTTAGTGGAAGAGGAAAGTGAGGGCTGAGTTGAGATCAAGAGCAGTTGGGTTTCTCAGTCTGGGTTGGTAATGGAGACAGGGTGGGTTAGAACCATACCATTAATCCTATGAGAGTATTATCATTCTCTGTGCTTGGTCCTTGCTTGCTAACTTTTGCTGATATGTTTTCTTCTTGGAAATGTAATTTTTCTAAGTTTCTCTCTTAAAGAGCTTTTGAAATCTTGTCTTTGGTAGGTACAGTGTCTTTCCTGACACTGTGTTACACACAAACACATGTTTTTTTCCCTTTATTCTACTTCCAAAGAAACCCTTTGGTTAGGAGAGTTACATATTTGCACATTTTATAAAGTTAACAATTTATTTAACAGTGCATTGACATTTAGTCACCATAAAGATGGCTTTTAAGGTCTCCTCTAGTTCTAACACTGACGATACATTTGTAACAACATGGCATGTAAATGCTCTTTACCCAGACTGTGCACTGCTCGGACTAGCCAATGCATTGGGCTATGACCTCTGAAACTGAAAATACTTGGGAGTGAAAAAAACAAATAAATGGTGCTAATAAACCTAAGTCACTAATTGGGTCTACAAGTGCTCTGTCCCATGACTATGGCTATATTTGCTGTCCCCAGTCAGACTTCCTACAGTCCTACAGAGTAGCTGCTTCTACAGGGGAAACTAGACAAGTTGTGAATAGGTGGTGGTAGTGATGGTAGCAGCTATGACTTATTGAGCAATTACTATATGACTGGCCCATTCTGTTTTACACAAATTTACTCATTGAATCCTTTTAACAGTCCCATAAAGCAAATTCCTGTTTTACAGATGAAGAATTTGAGGCACAGGGAGCTTATTTTTCTAGGGTCATACAGTTGGATCAGTAGCCATGATTGAGTCAGCAAATTAGAGTCTGCAAGCCAGTCTAGCCCACTGCTTGTTTTTGTATGACCCAGGAGTTCTGAATGATTCTGACAAGTTTAAATGTTTGCAGGGTCAGGCTGGGGTTGGGGAAAAGGATTTTCATGACATGCAAACTTTGTGAAAATCAAATGTCAGTATCTATGGGTAAAAGTTTAATACACCCATGCACATCATTTATGTATTGTGTATGGCTGTTTTTGTGCTACAGTGGCAGAAGTGAGTAGTTGCAACAGAGACCACATGCATGGCCTGCAAAGCCTAAAGTATTTAATATTTGGCTCATTATAGAAGACTTTTGCCTACCCTTTCCATCACCACTCCTGGTGAAATAGAGTTGAAAATATAAACTTTCCTAATAATAAAAATTAGGGTCAGTAAGTGTCTTTCTTATGAAGGACAGCATAGCAAATATACGTATGAGGTTGTATCTTTATCTTCAGATGTTAGGTTATTATGATTGTGTTTGTTAATGAAAATTTAACCTTTTTTCTTTTTTTCAACAGGTTCAGAAACTGAGTCTGGTTGCAGTAAGTAAGTATATACTTTATTCTGAATTTATGCATATCTAAAAAATTTTTTTTATTTTGACATAAATTTGAGATTTACAGAACACATAAGGAAGCCAGGGTAACATGTATGTCTGATAAACTTACATATCAGAAACAAAAAAGGATACCAGGATAGAATCATGTTTTGCTTTCAGTTGTTACATATCTTTTTTTTTTTTAATTGGAAACTGTTCTTTAAACTTTCTTTGTGCTTCATGATATTGACACATTGACACTTTTGAAGAGTACAGGCTCATTTAGAATGTCCTTCAGTTTGACTTTTTTTGACATTTCTTCAGGATTAGATTCAGGTTGTACCCTTTGGCAGGAATCACAGTGAATTGTATCGGAAGGCACATGCTGTTGGTTAGTTCTATTCCCGTCAGCCATTGGTTAGGAGGCCCCATTTTAAAGTTAGTGTTTTGGCCTTGGTTATCAATAAGTATCCTTTGGTAATACGCACTGGGACTATGTAAATATCCTAGTACTCTTCAAAGTTATCACCTCTGCTTTTAGCATTTTATGATGATACTTGCCTGAATCAGTTATTAGTATGATGGTTGCCAAATACATGTTGATTATCCTTAATCTAAAAATTTGAAACCCAAAATGCTCCAAAGTCTGAAACTTTTTGGGAACTGACATGATGTTCAAAGGGAAATGTTCATTGGAACATTTCTGATTCACATTTCCAAATTAGTAATGTTCACCTGGTATGCAAATAGTCCAAAATCCAAAACAGTCTGAAATCTGAAACCCTTCTGGTCTCAAGCATTTCAGATAAAGCATTGTCAGCCTGAAGTGATTTTCTTTTGCCATTATTCCTTCTACTGTAAGGAAAAGTTTCCCCTTTTCTCACATTTTAGTGTGTTTTTTTCAGTGGAAGAGTTTTGTTTTGTTTTGTTTTTGAGATGGAGTTTAGCTCTTCTTGCCCAGGCTGGAGTGCAGTGGCGTGATCTTGGCTCACCACAACCTCCACCTTCCAAGTTCAAGCGATTCTCCTGCCTCGGCCTCCTGAGTAGCTGGGATTACAGGCATGCGCCTCCATGCCCAGCTAATTTTGTATTTTTAGTAGAAATGGGGATTCTCCATGCTGGTCAGGCTGGTCTCGAAATCCTGAGCTCAGGTGATCTGCCCATCTCAACCTCCCAAAGTACTGGGATTGCAGGCTTGAGCCATCGCACTGGCCTTGTTTTTTTTTTTTTTTTTTTTTTTTTTAAACTATCTAATAGGATAAAGCATTTCTCAGGGCTGAGAGATATTAATTTTACCATCAAATATGGTCCTTGTGAGAGAAACAGAAAAGGCCTACAAGGACTGTAATGTGTATGTCTATTAAACTTACATTTTAATAATAGATTAGAAGGCAGAAGAAAGGCATTGGAACTTAAGTTGAAAACAAAAGTGAATGATAAACCTATAGAAACAGGATTATGCAAACAAATCCTAATATGGAATTTGCAGCATGAAAAATACAACAATCCTCTGTCTTCTAACCCTCACGCCCCAAAAGAGGAAAGGAAAAGGTCAGTATGACCAGGATAATGAGAGAAGAATCACATGTCACGTGAGAAATGCTAGATTGATAGGCATATTTACCTGGAGAAGACTGTAGAAACAATATTGTCTTTAAATGTTTTAGGAGTGGACATATAGAATACCATATGGAATACTTTTGGGTTGGTCCAAAGGGTAGAGTTAGAGATCTAGGTTTTGAGTTACTTTTAAAATTTTTCTGGAGTTATTAGTGAACTTGATGTTCCAGAAGATATTCACGTGTTCACATGGGCCAAGCACGGTGGCTCATGCCCGTAATCCCAGCACTTTGGAAGGCCAAGGCGGGCAGATCACCTGAGGTCAGGAGTTCAAGACCAGCCTATCTAACATGGCAAAACCCTGCCTCTACTAAAAATGCAAAAATTAGCAGGTCATGGTGGTACACACTAGTAATCCTAGCTACTAAGGAGGCTGAGGCAGGAGAATCACTTGAACTTAGGAGGCGGATGTTGGAGCGTGCCGAGATTGCACAGCTGCACTCCAGCCTGGGTGGCACAACGAGACTACATCTCTCAAAAAAAAGGAAAAAAAAGGTGTTCACATGAAGACTGGATGACCGTCTGTCAGAGCTTTGTGTATCAAATGACAGTTTTTTTCCAAATAACCTCCAAAAGCTTCTTTTCATTTCTCTAGGATTATGTTTTTATTTCTGCAAATCTAGACATTTGTTCTCTTAGGGAAGGACAAGGTGATTTCCTATCCTTAGTTTCATAGTTACTTACAGATATCTAAAATATTTTAGTCAAAATTTTATACTCTGTGTCCCAACTTTGATCTTTATAAATATTTTTGAATTATAGCCATGAAAAATGTTATATGTATACTTGAGGTTTCTCTTTAACATCTTAAAAATTCTTGTTTCTTTCATTTTGTATTTTCTCCTAGGTAATTCTGTTCCACAGGATATCTGCTGTATGGCAGCTGATGGCAGATTAGTCTTTGCTGCATATGGGAATGTTTTCTCGGCATTTGCCCGTAATAAAGAGGTTTGTATCACTAAACTATTTTAACTTGTTTGTCTTTTGCAGTCAGTAGTTATTTGTCATGATAGTGGAGGGAACTTTAATTTTGTCATTCTTTACCTGGCACACTCTGGAAATATACAGTATTCTTTTATTTCTAATGTATATTCAGTTTTCTGGAGGAAGATAAATTTTCAGAAAAGGCTTACTTAGAACTGGTGTTTTACTCAGTTTCTTTGTCAGAGATGAGTATCAGAATTACTTGGACACCTTCTCTAAAATTTTTTATGCCCACTCAGTTCCCATCTCAGGAGTTTTTTGTTCTGTGTATTTGTTGAGATAGGACGTAATGTGTATTATTAAGTTTTTTTTTTTTTTTTTTTTTTTTAATGCTTTCCTGGGAATATTTTACTACCACTTTATGTGGATTGGTTATTCACTATGCATAACTTAGCTCATAACTCTTTTTCTAAAAACCAGATGCTTGTTCCCTATTTGAGAACACTAGATTCTGTGTTTTCTCCACTGCTAAGAAAAGAGCTTTTCGGGTCTAAATCTACCAGTTGTTTTCTGAATTTGTCCTGGAACAACTAGCTTGAGAGATGACCTGGCTTTAATGGTCTAGAATGAAAGGAAAAGTAGGAATGGGGTTACAAAGATAGCCAAATGATAATGTCCCTGTACTTGTCAGGGACTTGGAGTGAGGTGGTTCTCATAGTCTTTTATCATCACTACCTGTGGCAGAGGAAGGTAACTTACCTGTGGAGATCTTTAAGAGAAGGTGTTCAGATTTTTAGAATTGGGAAAAATGTTCATATATGCACAGGTATGGTCAGGGTTAGTGGAACAAAGTAGGGGTGGGGAGGCATCAGACACTATCAATTGTAGGAAATTGTTACCACCCCTAATGTCAAAGGGCCAAGGAGAAGAAACAGTGTTATTGGAATCTCGTGAGGACTGAAACCGTGGAGAAAGGGCTATACTTTTGGAAGGATTAGCTACCATAAGAGTCTCTGTTAAAGCAGAGAGGTATGGGGAAGAAGACGTCCAATCCCCCTTTCCTAACTCATCTGACGACCAGTTGATTATGGAGTATATAGAGATCAGCCTTCTGGAACATACCATCTTGCTAGGATATATATAGTTGCACTGATTGAATTGGGTGAGGTACCTAGGTCTGCGTGCCTGCCTCCTCTCTAACCTAAGTTGGAAGGCTGAGCCTCAGAGGTCTCATTTCTTTGTTCTTAATGAACAGTTTACCTTCTTATTGTTGAACTGGCTGAGAGAGCAGATGAACACGCCTGGTTCCTTGATATTTATGTGTTCATCCTAACCTTTAATAATCAAGAGTTGGGCTACATTTCTTAACAGAAGCATCTCAGGATTAGCATGTTTTGGGGATAAAATGAACAATATGACATGATGACTGAGTAATACGAAATTCTTTTAAACTTTGATGTTGTAGATAGTACATACCTTTAAGGGTCATAAGGCAGAAATCCATCTCTTGCAACCCTTTGGAGACCACATTATCTCTGTTGATACTGACAGCATTCTTATTATTTGGCACATATATTCAGAAGGTAAGAGTTAACAATTTATTTGCTTTATCTTAGGGTAGTCTGTGTTTAGTTAAAACTTAAAATCTGTCAATATCTATGCCAAAGGTTTTGCCTGTAAATAGTAAAAAAAAAAAAAAAAAAAAAAAATTAAAAATCTTTAACATGTATAAGAAAAAATGTTCTAAGTAAGAAAGAGATAAACAACTTTAGCAAGTTAACTACTTATAAATTGTTGCATGTGCTTACCTCAACTAATATATTTTCCATTGCTATTTTGTTGTAATATATTATTACAAAATGATTTGTTATATTGTTTTCCCTATGGAGTGAATATTGATGTATTTTCATACCTGAATAATTCTTGGTTTGTATTTCAGCTTTTAGTAAAGAGGACTTCAATAGTAAACTTGATCTTATAATCAGAAGGAAAATATACATCCTTTTCCTAGGGATATGAATCAGTTTCTTTCAACTGTGATAGTCTTAGACAGTGGCTATGTTTATGGGATTATGTATCTTTAAACATGAAGAATTTATTCCTAGAATATCTACACTTTTCCTCAATAAAATACCTTCTTTGATATGTAAATTTATTGGAAAATTTGGTGAAACATTGTTTTAATTGTGGAGGAACTATAAAGTAAAAAGCAGAATTCAAACATAGAAATTTTGAATATAACCAAAGATTTCAGAGAATTTTTTGGTCTTGGAGCAAGTGACCACTGGCTATGCCACCCTGCACTCCACAGGGTTGTAAGTTTTTTTTCTTTTCCTTTATTAGAGGTTCTTTTGTGGAAATGTGTGACAAGTACTGTTACTAGTTTCACTGAGATATGCCTTTTATTTTTGGCATTTTTTGAGTGGCCCATCAAACTTTCCATATAGTTGGGTCTTCATTCCCTGGAAAGGCTAAGTATAAGCACTTCACTTGGAATATTCACTTCTGCTTGTGGATCAAATTACAGAAATATTAATGCTGATCTTTTGTTAAACTTTATCCTTTTCTGTAAAGTAATTCAAAAGTGAATGAAACTTTTAATAGTATTTTTATTAGAAGTCATAGAAAATTTTTCACAGTCTAAATTACATTTACAAGTTGCCCTTCATTTATTTTCTCAAGGAATGTATAGATTAGTATCTAATTCTGTAGTTTATTTTAGCTTTGATACGATAGACTTTAAGCGATAAATATATGGTTATATAAAACATTTTAAACTATTTTATAAAACATAATTATAACTTTCACTTTTGTAGAAGAATACCTGCAATTGACTTTTGATAAAACAGTATTTAAAATTTCTGCAATTTTGCATCCAAGTACCTACTTGAATAAAATACTTCTGGGCAGTGAACAAGGAAGCCTGCAATTGTGGAATGTAAAATCCAAGTAAGTATTTTAGTTAGAAAATAATATAGTTGTCACTTTATCCTCATCTATTACTTCCTAATGCATACTTAAGTCTCATTTCTCCTGCTTTTGTATATTTATTTGGAGGGTTGTCTATAAATACAGTTGGTCCTCTGTATCAGAGGAGTCAACCAACTTCGGATCAAAAATATTCAAGAAAAAATAAATAATAATACAACAATAAAAATCACATTTTAAAATAGTACAGAATAACAGCTATTTACATAATATTTACATAGTGTTAGGTTTTTTGAGTAAGCTAGAGATTAAAGTATATGCATAAATATGTGATGGTTATATGCATTTTATGTAAGGGACTTGAGCATCTCTTAACTTTGGTATCAGCAGAGAGGTTGGGAAGACCTGGAACCAATCCCCCAGGGATACTGAGCTATACAACTATATGCTTGCTTTTGAAGTTGTTGCTGGTGGCATCACATATATGAAAGCTGGCATGTGATCCTGACACATGTTAGCTTCATAAATGCTTATTGAAAAGTTTGTACTGATGGCCTATTAACTGTAAAGAATTGCTATACAGAAGGCTCTAATAAAGTAATATGAGATCTGTCAGAAAATAATAATTATGAGATTATTCTTGGGGAGCTTCTAGTTTTCCATACATGAAAATTTTCCATGTATGAAGAAGGTAAAAGATGGAAAAGTAAATCAATGATAATTTAGTGGTAGCATTTAGAAATGATTTTCAGGGTTAAAAATATTTTCATCATTTCCCATAGATACGGTGAATATCTACTATAATATTGATATAGCTGGAGGGCTGGATACATGATTTTGAATACTTCTACCCATTATTTAAACATTTATCGGTAAAAAAAGGTGGCAGCTCAGACTTCTTTGTGTAGCATTTAAAAAAGCAAATAAAAATATTTGACCATCCAAATTGTTTTTTCCAAAGTCTTTATTAATTCAGAAGGGAAAATAAGATTATTAAAGCTATAATATTTTAAATCAGTGCTTCATTTCAATTTAACAAATACCATTGACTGCCTGCTTTGTGCTAGGTTCAGGGATGGTGACTGAAATACTGTCTTTGCCCTTACAGTTATTTTCTTTGGTTCTTTATTTGATATGTACATTCTTTACTGTACTTTAGCCATTGTATTCAGTAAACTAATCTGTGCCCATTTACACAATTTAATATGTGATTTAATACTTTAATGATAATTATTATGATTTCAGATACTTCTGTTTGTTCCATGGATGTGTTATTTATCATTCATGGCTTGCTTCTGAAATTGAGAGCAGCATTACTATTGTCATATAACAGTCATATAACATGCAGATAATATTGTTGTTAAAATATAAGTTAGTCCCTTTCATGACAGTCTTTTTGCAGTCCTAAATTTTTTTTTTGTTGTCTGTAATATGAAATGGTTTATCACTCATAATTTTTTTTTCCCACTTTGGACATTTAATTTCTTAAAGAGGTGGCATAGCATAGTAGTGTGAGATCTAGAATTTGTCTGGATAATATTACTAACCTTGTGACGTTAGCTTAATTATCAGAATACTGTGTGGAAGAGTAAGAAATTCATAAATATCACCTATTATTATTTCATTTTTTAAATGTGTAACTGATTTTGTCTTCCTCCAAAAAAAAAGCTTTCAACTATTTTTCTTCTTGTAGTAAACTTCTGTATACATTTCCAGGATGGAAAGTTGGAGTGACAGCTCTTCAGCAGGTTAGTATTTTTCTGTTAAAGAGGAAACAAAGTTAATAGGAAAATCTTTTAGTTTCAGGAATCAATCATAATTTTAGACGTAAAGACAAAACGATATATAGCTTAGTTTACCTTTAAAATTGTTACCCCGAAGAAATAGTGTTTTGGAAATGTAGTTTAAAACAATTAATAATGTCTTTGTCAATAACAATTTTGGAATCCTTTGTGCTTATAGTTTGACTTTAAACCCATGGTTGCTATGGATCCTTCTTTACTAATCATTTTGCAGAGATATGTAGTCCAGTGTCTTGTGTAGACTGGAAATGAGTGTTCAGCAATGCAAGGGGTATTGTAAGTCATGCAGATAAATTTGTCAAGATGTTGAGATTTATGGTCTGAAATAATTGGAGCCAAAATCCTTGATTCGACGATGGACTATTTAAGAAATAACTGCTTTTTTTAATGACTCTGCAAAATATGTATAAATAAATGAATGCATGCCTGCATTGAATCTTGTGTTTCTATTGGCCACATATGTAGCCAGTATACACTTATTTTTCTCAGCATCCACTGTCTATGCTTGCCCAATTTATATGTATTCCTTATCTTCTCTTACTGCCATCAATCTAGCTCCACTTTTGCCTATCCAGAAGACTCCATAAATATCAGAGGATTAGGTACTTTGAGGACAAGGGATTATTTGTTTCAGTATCTCCAGTTTCTACACAGGGTCTGATACATAGTAGACACTTGATGACAAATTAATAAAATGTGTAGCCTGATTCCATTCTATAATGATATTGGACATTGATCTTTGCTAAAGTAAAGAAATTCATAATAGAGCCTGTATGTAAGACTATAGTATTATAGACCATTATAACCATAGAATATTGGAACTGGAACAGGCTCATTGTAATACATTTTTTTGCCTTTTCCCATGTTTTGTAAGTTTTTCTACTTTCTTGGGTAAACAATTTTTCACTTCCTCTGTAATTGGTTATACATTGCCATGCATGTCGCAGGCCTTGTGTGTTTTCTAGGAGTTGTCTCCTTTTTCTGTTTCCATCCAATCCAGTGATCTGTAGTGCTTTTATACATAGCTTTCTTTTCTGTTGGGGCTGTTTTCTTATCAAAATCTTACCAGCTGGGTTTTGGGGATGGGGATGGGATGTTGACTGGCAGAATTGAAGCTGGGAAGTAATTTGGAAAAATCATTTCCGAATACTTCTATGCTGAATATAAAAGTATGCCAAAATAGTAATACTTGTTGAGTTTTCCTGCCACCTTTGGGAAGATACTCCATTATTTCTTTTTGATAACACCTAAGAAATGATGCATATCATAAGGATTATTAAAGCTATTTTGTTTAAGAAAACAAAATAAAAGTTCGAATAATTTAATTTTTAGGCACCAGCTGTGGATGTTGTTGGTATTGGTCTTATGTCAGGTCAAGTTATCATTCACAACATTAAATTTAATGAAACATTAATGAAGTTTCGTCAAGACTGGGGACCCATTACTTCAATTTCATTTCGCACAGGTAACTTTTAACATACTTAAGAGTTAAGGAAACTTAAAATTCATTACCTTAAAATTCAGAAATTTTTTTTGGCGTCTGGTAGCTTAATCTAATAGAAATGAATGAATACTGGAGTAAAAGGAGGCAGAGAAATTTGAATAAATAATGGTATATAGTTTTTTTCTAACTTTATGGAATAAAAGGGAAGAGAGAAGAATTCTTGTTTATTTTGGGAGGATCTATAAGTATTTTTCTTAATGTGTTTTATTTTAATAACAGATGGTCATCCTGTAATGGCAGCTGGAAGCCCATGTGGCCATATTGGACTCTGGGATCTAGAGGACAAAAAATTAATCAATCAAATGAGAAATGCACACTCTACAGCAATTGCCGGACTGACATTTCTCCATAGAGAGCCACTTCTTGTCACAAATGGCGGTGACAATGCTCTCAGGGTATTATGATGATTGTTATCATCCTCCTGGCTCATCTAACTTATCCTTTGGGTTATTACAAGCTTGTTTTAATGTATCAGCTTTCAACCTAGAAGATGAAAGGAATATGGAAGGAGGTATTGGTATAGATGAAAGAAAAAGCACAGTAGGTGACATGATTGTAGTGAAGCAGGAAAGAATTATAGTTTATTTCTCCCACAATACCCACCCTCCCCCTTGTAATTCCAGGGCCAGTGGCTTAGCAAGCACTACACAATGCCAGTTGATGTATGTAGGGGGTGATTTGACTGCTTGCAGATAAGAACTTTACATTTTTATTTCTTGGCAGATATGGATATTTGATGGTCCTACAGGTGAAGGCCGACTTTTGAGATTCAGAATGGGTCATAGTGCTCCTCTTATCAGTATCAGATACTATGGACAAAATGGACAACAGATTCTAAGCGCAAGTGAGCTTCTGCTTCATACTATTAGTTTATTTCAGCAAGTGTTGAGATGTGGGTGCCCAGTATTAGGTTTGATATTTACACATATTTAGATTTGCATATCTCTTTGAGTGACTTAAAGTTATTATCTGTACTTAATGTGTCCTTCTGTTTACTAATCCTCAGAGACAGAATGGTCAGATTCTAAAAATTCTGTTAGTCTGCTGAAAATTATTAGTATCTCGTTTTCATTTTATCCTTTATTCTCACTAAATGCCATTCTATAAAAAGTTGAGTATTTTCGGCCAGGCATGGTGGCTCACGCCTGTAATATCAGCACTTTGAGAGGCCAAGGTGGGTGGATCACCTGAGGTTGGGAGTTCAAGACCAGCCTGACAAACATTGAGAAACCCTGTCTCTACTAAAAATACAAAATATTAGTCAGGTGTGGTGGTGTATGCCTGTAATCCCAGATACCAGGGAGGCTGAGGCAGGAAAATTGCCTGAACCCAGGAGGCAGAGGTTGCGGTGAGCCAACATTGTGCCATTACACTAAAGCCTGGCGACAAGAGCAAAACTCCATCTTGAGAGAAAAAAAAAGTTGAGTGTTTTAATGTAGTTGCAATCTGGCTTTCCCTTTAAAGTGTCCCAAACTGTGACTTCAAGTTTTTCAAATTGAATTTTATAAAATTTGTGATTCACATAGTCCATTGTTTTGATGAAACTTGATTAGAGATCTTCTGTGTATGTCAACAGGTCAAGATGGAACTCTTCAGTCATTTTCCACGGTACATGAAAAATTCAATAAGAGTTTGGGACATGGTAGGTCCTTTGCAAGACAGAAAATAAGCTGGTTACAAAAGAAACATTTCAACATTCTATGAGAGAACTGGAGAAAGTTTCATCAATACATTTTCTCTCTTCGTGGATGAAATGGATAAACGTAAACCATAAGAAGTGGTTGAAGTTCTGCTATGAGGTTATTGGAAAAAGTTAGACATCTTGGGTGGTAAAAACATACTGCTGCCACCCAAAAGATGTTGATGGCCTCTCTTGAGCTATCTGTAGAGTGCACAGTTTTTAAAATGGAAGGTAGCTTAGAGAAAGCATCAACATAAGCAGTGTCCAATTTTTTTGCTTTAAAGCAATCATTTTATTCTTCTATTTCCATGTTTCCAGCCTTTGAAAGATTTGTTTATTAAACAAGAAAATGTTTTTCAGTTTTATTACTAATTTTTAAGTGACTATCTTTACTATTCATGTATGTATATACTTTCAGATGAAATTTAAGATTTTTTTAAAATCAATATCTAAAGTAATTTCTCTTAGAATTAAAAAATAACAGTGGTAATAACATCTTTGTTTTGTTTCTGACTTAAATGGGAATATCTTGAACTTTATAGTTGTATGACAATGATAGCTTTTCTTTTACATATATTTTTTTTTTAATTAAGAAGGATTCATAGCTTTCTATGTCCCCCTTGCCTCCAACCCCAGGATTAATAAATAAAAAGAGAGTCAAACGTAAAGGACTTCAGAATACCATGTCAGTGAGACTTCCACCCATCACAAAGTTTGCAGCAGGTAAGTAACTTCATACTGTGTTTCGAGACGTTCTCCTTTGTCGTTGTTTCCTACTTTGTGCTATTTTATTTTCTCTGTTTTAATAAATGCTTTTACAGATATTAATAAGCATTCAGAAAGTAACTCCAGGTATATGCTGATCTTGTGTGAACACTAAAATGAATTCTTTTAAATGTGAACTTATTATCTATTAACCTCAGGCTTTGCTCTTCATAATAGCTACTACTAATATTTGATTTTATAGCCTTTCTTTTTATTCTGTCATATGCCTAGTATAATGAAAGTCACTAATTTAAAAAGAACTGAACAGCAAAGTATGAGAACATAGAGCTCTGACTAATTAAGATCTAAGAATGCTGAGGATTTAGTATGCTATGTCATTTGACCACTGCTTCTTTCAAAGAAGTGATTTTAAGAAAAACGTAGATAATGGGTTTGTTGCCTGAAATCTATCATGGGAAATTACTGTGTAGGCACTATTTCTATTTGAAGGTTACTATTAAGACCACCTTTCTGACTTTTCTTAGAGCTTGAGTGATGTTCCTAAAAACACATCTAAATCACATTACTCACCTGCTTAAAATTTTTTAGTGGCTTCTTATACCTTTAGAGTGGAATCTCATCTCCTTAACATGACTTTCAAGACCTTTGGTAGTGTGGTCCTGATTGCCTTCCCCGATTCCCATTCCTCCCAAAAGATACTACACTTACTTGCTGTCCTCAGTTTTGTTCATTTTCTTTTGTGCATGTTATCCCCCCACCCCAGGTAATTTCTACTCCTTCTACCACTCCATCCAGAGAGACATTTATATTCCCCAAATCTCCTGAGTGGTTTTATAAGACACTATCATATTTTACTGTGATTTCTTCTAATTCAAATCTCTTGTTAGTTTGTTGTATACTAAAAACACATAAGTACACACATTTTTAATTTGTCAATTAAAAAATAATAACCTCTTGTTAGATTGGAAACATTAGTATCAGGTATTACCTGTTTGGTTCACCATTGTATCCCTAGTGTCTGATGATAACCTGAAATATTAGATGCTTAATAAGTAATAGATGAATAACAGAATGAAAAGTAATTTGATTTATGATTTTTATTACATTTTAGAGGAAGCTCGTGAGAGTGACTGGGATGGTATCATTGCTTGCCATCAAGGTAAGCTATCTTGCTCAACCTGGAATTATCAAAAATCTACAATAGGTGCTTACTTTCTCAAGCCAAAAGAATTGAAGAAAGATGACATAACTGCAACAGTAAGTGAGCTTGTTTATAAGGACATTTTTGCTTTAAAATTTTCCTATGGAAATCTTGTTGCACTCAAAGTTTCTCCTCATAATATTGGTTGAAAAAACATAGTTTAACATTTTGAAGTTATTCCTTAATAGTTTTAAGCTTTCCAAGTTACAAACATTTATTTGTAATTGGGCGTGAGGTATTATCTCGTTGTGGTTCTGATTTCTATTTCCCCACTGACATGAAGAATGAACATCTTTTCATATGGTTATAGACCATTCGTATATCTTTTTTGAGAAATATTTAAAAATAATTAACTTGTAATATCTCTTTATATATTCTCAATACAAGTCCCTTATGAGATATTTGAATTACAAATGTTTTCTTCCATTCTGTAGGCTATCATTTCATTTTCTTTTTGGTGTCATTTTTAACTAAAAGCTTTGAATTTTGATGAAGTTCAGTTTATTCTTATATTGCTTATGCTTTTTAAGAAAGCATTGTGTAGCCGAAAGACACGAAGATTTGCTTCTGTGACTGATAAGAGCTTCCTAGTTTTAGCTCTTATATTTGGGTTTATTCTCTCTCAATTGATTTTTGTATATGGTATGATATAGGGATCCAATTTCTTTTTTTTGCATGTGGATATCCAGTTGTCTCAGCACCATTTGTTCACAAGACCATTCTTTCTCCATTGAATGATCTTGTTACCTCTGCTGAAATATAGAAAAACATATATTGATACACTATTGATATTTTAAGTAGTAAAGTGGGTTTATAATAGAACTTGCCTATAAACCAAATGTTCTCCTGTATTGTCTTATATACTCCCTTCCTAAAATGTCATAATTAAAATATTTTGGGCTTTTGCTTGGGCATTCTAACTAATGGTATGTTTATGGTTTGATGACAGCTGTGGAAGCAGATAAAAAAGGCAAGACAAAAAGAAATTAGGCAATGGAATGTTTTGACTTTAGCCTTGTTAATAAAATAAAAATTGAAGGCTGGTCCTGTATGTAGTTCTCCTGACTTTGTACATTTAAATTGAGTTAACCTTAGTTATGTTTTGTTTTCTTAGATATTAATTCTTGATACTTTTAAAAGAATGGAGATAGAATCTAACATATATTCTTATACACCCAAATATAATTACTTTAGGTTTAAAAAAACTAATGAAGCAATTTATTTATCGTGCTTTTTTAAATAAAAAGGAACAAGCAGTAGATAAAAAAAATACTTTGGCAAGCATAAAGTGCAATAAAATGTTATTTTCTTTGTCATTTGCGGTTTTTTTTTTTTTTTTTCTTTAAGGCAGTGGATATAACTTCTTGTGGAAACTTTGCTGTAATTGGCCTCTCATCAGGAACTGTAGATGTATATAACATGCAGTCTGGTATACATCGAGGAAGTTTCGGCAAGGATCAAGGTATAGAATTTTTTCCTTTTTTTAAATTAATATAGATAAATACAAGGCTAGTAATGATAGCTTGCATTTATAATCTTTAAGTGCTGGGCATTTTGCTAAAGTTTAAGACGGGTTATCTTCAACCCTATATGGCAGATACTACAATTGTATCATAAGGACCATGTTGAAAGAGAAAAGTCATGGGTACCTAAGAGTTATGTGGATATTATTCAGATTAAAATTTTTTTCTCTTCTGCTTTAAGCAGAATATTTTAACAAAATTTTCAGACCTATGTGGTATCAACCTGATTTCTGTTTTTTTACTCAGTGTTAATAATTAAGATTCTTCTCCTTAACCCCCTAAAATTCAGATTAATTTCAAAATTTTTCAAGGATATTTAAATGGCAGCTTATGTATTTGAATGAAGGAATCACTATGTGTATTGTTAAGAGAGACACTGCCAATTCTGATTTCTTTTTTCTTTTGACATGTACCTTACAGCTCACAAGGGATCTATTAGAGGTGTTTCAGTGGATGGATTAAACCAGGTGACAGTTACAACTGGTAGTGAAGGATTACTCAAATTCTGGAACTTTAAAAGCAAAAGTTTAATCCATTCTGTGGGCCTCAGTTCATCTCCAAATATCATGCTGCTACATAGGGACAGGTAAACTTTTAATGATAATGGATTTTCTCATTAATTCTTTTGGTAAAAGTTTTAAAGTCACAATTTACCAAGTGAGAAAAATCAGAGTATTTAATAAAGAACAGCATTTGGCTTAATTTCCACCTAACTGTATTTGATTTAACAAAATTCAAGTGGATATAAGACTTTTTAGTTCAAGGGTTTTTTATTTACTAAAACTGGTGCATTTATCTTGCTAGTGGCATTCTGGGACTCGCCTTGGATGACTTCTCCATTAGTGTTCTGGATATAGAAACTAGGAAGATTGTCAGACAGTTTTCTGGACACCAAGGCCAAATAAATGACATGGTAAAACAAACTCTAGCTGATAAAACTGGACTTATTGCTACTTCTGTTTGGGTGTGTTATCCTTTAATAGCCTTAAAATCATTATATGAGGTGGTTATCAATTTTAATTTGCAGGCCATTTTTCAAAGATTTTTAAAGAAAGTTTTAAGTTAAAAGTTTAATACTTTTCAGGGAGTTGATGCCATCAAATTGAAGTGTAAGTTTTAGAGCTCATCTTTTTTTCATTGAACCAGGCCAGAGTAAACTATAGATATGAATGATCCATTGGTTTGTGTCATTTTTAACTTAATATTAAACTAAGCTGGGAGAATTTATTTCTGTTTTACTATGTATGAAATGAATTAATAGTAAAAGACTATTTGCTTGGAATATTTGGTATCTGGTTTATTTTAGGTTGGTGCTATTTCTGGAGTTTATGTATGTTAATTCTGAAGGGGTTTAATTAATAAAAATGTGTTTAAGTTTACTATTATGTTCCTATAGTGGGATATATTATATGGTAAGAAGTAAAGTAGTTTGAAAAGCATATTCAAAAGAACTTTTAAAATAAATTTGTCATTTGAGGACCATATTAAGTCTATGTTATTATTTTTCATCAATTGCAGATACCTTGATTTGCTTGAAAATAGAAAAAGTAAAATAAAAATAAAACCCTAATACTTAGTGACAAACCCAACAGCTACATTTACTAGTTTTCACACCAAAAATCAGAATTTACTCCTTTCCTTAAAAATTGAAGGAAAAAAAACCTGTTCAGGACATTGTGTTCTGCAGATCAGAGGCTGGCAGAATTATACATCAACAGAATTTGTTTCAACAGCATGTGTAGAAATGAGGGTGGGAGTGGGTTGTGCTGAAATGGCAATTTTTAAAACATCTGTAAGTGTCAATTTGCTCTTCCTTTTTCTTTCTTTTTCAAACCTTACTTTCAACTTGTATATCTAGAGTTTCCCTATTCAGTAATAAGTTACTCCTTTTAGTTAAATCTGAGAGCATTTATAACGTGACTTTACCTCTCAGAGTCATTCTTTCCCATGCTTTGCTATCTGTATCACCCTTCTGTAAGTTGATCTATTTGTAAATTGAGATTTGAGTTCACATTATATTACTGCAGCCTGATGAACAAATGAACATTTACATATTCCAGTATCACCCACTAATTTAAACTGCTGGATGAACAATATACTACAACTACAAACCTGAAAGTTTTTCTTTTTGGGTCATTTTTCACATGTGATCTAATTTGTGCCTGACGACCCTTAGGTACTACAGGCAAAGAGATCTATTATTTATCCATTTTTATAGCTAGAAAGGATAATGGGTGGCATAAGTAGTTTATTTAAATTTGTTTTGAAAAAATCTGATTATTATGGCTTATGTTTAGAAATAAAGCATTATTAAAAAAGAAGATGTTTAACATAAGCTTCAAGAAAAATAGGCTCTTAATCACACACATAAACATATTATCTGTAAATAAATGGAAAATTCTGGTTTGAAAATTAATGCAATACACTTTATTTTTTTAATTTTTAGTAATTCATTTAAAAGCCTAATCTTTATCCAAATTCCATATCAGTGGTATTTAGGAAGTGGTATTTTCTTTTATATGTAATAAGACAGCCTGAATGTTACTCAGTCAAATTAATTTTTTTATGAAGCCTGCATTATCTTTTCATTTATTGCATTCTTTAAGGTGTTAACTTTATATACATACATGCATACATATAAATATATATATATTTTATATATATATATATATATATGCATGTATGTATATTATATTTTTTTAATTTAAAGGCTTTTAGTCCTGATGGTCGTTGGTTAATAAGTGCTGCAATGGATTGCTCTGTTAGGACTTGGGACCTTCCTTCTGGTTGGTAAGTTTATATTTCTAAATCCCTAACCTCTATAAGAAGATTTCTAAGTTATTTTCTTCACACGTGACTTTTACCAGTAGTTAATGGATTATATGCTTTTCCAATGTGACTATATTTGGAGATTTTTCTGACATGACTGTATTGTGTCCTTGGAGTGTTTTTAATGATAACCAAACAGCAAGTAGTAGTGTCATGAAAGATAATAGAAAAGTGAAATCTCTCTTAGGTTTTCTAATCCTGCAAAATTGAGATACAGAAGCAAGGTGCCTAAACCTTAGGAAAGCTCATTTGGCCTTTTTGATAAAGCTCAGACTTAAGGATGACAAACTTTTATTTTGAGTTTTTTTAGTTCATGCTGAATTTAGTTAGAAAGTAAAAATTGCTAACTTTTCTTTTTTGTATATTATATCTCTTGTGGTACTCTGACATAATTCTTAAAAGAAGGCATTTTAAATAGTGCATTTTCTGTAGCTTGGAATATTGAAACCCTGTTATTTCTAAAGAAAAGGAGTTTATTTCTTATAGTTTGGGAGATTGAAAAGCCTCAGGTCAAGAGGCCATAGCTGGAGAGACTTCTTGCTGGTGGAGACTGAATAGTCCCAAGGTGGTATGGGGTATCACACTAGTAAGGGTGATACCCCATACCACCTTGGGACTATCACTCAGTGTGATAATGTAATGGCTCAAGTCTGTCTTCCTTTTCTTATAAAGCCACCAGTTTTCCTCTCATGATAATCCATTAATCTATGAACAGGTTAATTCATTAATGAAGACAGAGTCCTCATGATCCAGTCACCTCTTAAAGGCCCTCCCCCTCAATACTGTCACATTGTGGATTAAGTTTAAACATGAGTTTTAGAGGGGACATTCAAACTGTATCTTAAAAGTAGTAAAAATGTGTGTCTTTAGATTTGGGTAAAACCTAACAGATGTTCAGAAATCCATTTCATGGGTTGAAATTTGCTGCTAATCCAGCACTTTAAAGAGAAAACAACCAAATCTGTAAATGGTATAAAACAGAGGAGACATACAGAATGTGTGTGGGGTTTGTTGTTAAAAATTATGTAGGTGTAGATACCATTTAAAATCATATCATTTAACACAGGATTGCTTAGATGAGTATGAAGAAAGGAAGAATTATGGAAATAGCAAAACATCTAATTTAACAGTACCATACCATTAAAAAAAGATGGATGAGAAAAATGAGAAGGAAGGTGGTACTTTTTAATCTAAAATCTTCCTAAATTAAGCTCTGTTAACTTCCTCTTCCTACTCACGAATTGGATAAGCTCATACATGAAAACAGTTTGACCTTTAGGAAGGAAAAACCCTGATGTCCTCAGTTCCCTTCAAGTTTGAAACAAGCCTGAGGCACACCTACCTATCCTGTAAGCACAGCTAAGGATTGTTGCTAGTGGGTCCAGCTCTAATAACTAGGGATCTTTGTCCACAGGTGTGTCTCTTTCACCTAAAATAGAGTAAAGCAAAATATAATTTATTGACTGTATCCTCCTTTGGTTTTAGAAGGTTCACCTAAAGTTGGTATTTCTTTAATTAAACATTTTGTTAAAGACACTATTAGAAATATTAGTGGTCTGTCACTTCTTGGGCTTTTGCTGTTTTCTAAAAGTTAATGTTATCTAATTTGAGTTGCTTTAAAGTAAGAAAGTTATATAAATAGTAGAGTTGGCATAGTGCCTTTTTCATTTTCCTTTTTAATAGTTTTAGTTTATATTAGTGGGAGAGATAGATTATTCAGTAGTAATAAATTGGTAGCGTTTTTTTTTTAAGTGGCTAATTCATCTTTGGAATGGAAAAATTAGGATTTGAAAGTAGCATTCAAAGCCACTAACCTTTGACTCAGCATTAGCCTTTTGCTGAATTTCTTATATCAGTAAAAAGTTGAAAAGATCAAAATCTGATAAATTTTCAACTCTATTATCTTATTTTTAGTGAGCATAAGCAATTTCAAGTGAATAGACAGACACGAAGCTGGGTGTAGCACAAGAGCAAGAAGTGACCACATCGAATTGTTAAAAGAAAATGTAATAAAATGGACATTGATTGGAAAAAGCATATTTTTATTTAAAAAATTAGTTTTTGGTTAAAATTTGAAGTGGACCAAATGAGAGAGCTTGAATAACTATCAAACAACTGCTGCTGCTTAATTGCAACTAAGCTAACATTTACGATGTGCTGCTAGGCACTGTGAATGCTTTTATTTTTCATATCCTAAGAGGTTGTAGGTACTATTACTGTTATTAGTCCCATTTCAAAAATGATGAAGTGGAGGCTTTTAGAAAAATTAAGTGATTTGCCCAAGGCAACTTAGTTTATAAATGGCAGAGCACAAAATAAGCACTGGAGAAAGAACTGTTGTTATGTTATCACCTTTGCTCAGACCATGTCTTGTTTTAAGAACGAACTGATTTTCTTGATGTAGAAGATAATAAAGTTAAGATTAGTGTTTTATTGTATAACCATGGGTAACTTGGGTTTTTTTAATTTCCCCTCTTTAAAAAAACATAATTCAGCCTATGGAGATTCCTAGTTTTTCTTTCAGTTAAATAACTTGAATAAAGAAAACATGTTACATAGCCTGGAAAGTGAAGCTATCTATGAGTAAACCCTTGAGTGTATTAACATACAGGGATATCCATCTGGAATTGTGCCTATTTTAAACAAATTGCATAGGTATTAAACTTTCCTATGCAGTTTTTTTTAAGTGCTGAAACATTTTTTATGTTTGTAAAATTCGCAGAGAAACAGAGTTGAAATTTTTTATCTCTGAAATTATTGTTCCTCTACCATTACCACCACCTTTTATGTCTGGCTGTCTTTGATCTAACAGAAGTTCAGATTGAATTCTTTTTTTTTTTTGAGACAAAGTCTTGTTCTGTTGCCCAGGCTGGAGTGCAGTGTTGCGATCTCGGCTCACTGCAACCTCTGTCTCCCGGGTTCAAGGGATTCTCCTGCCTCAGGCTCTCGAGTAGCTGGGACCACAGGTGCACGCCACCATACCCAGCTAATTTTTTTTGTATGGTTAATGGAGATGGAGTTTCACCATGTTGGCCAAGCTGGTCTCGAACTCCTGACGTCAAATGATCTGCCCACCTCATTATCCCAAAGTGCTGGGATTACAGGCATCAGCCACCACTCCTGGTCCAGATTGAGTTCTTTGAGGGGTGAGAAATATATAAAATTAAATAGTCTTCATAGAATTCTTCATTTGTTCTGTCTTACCCCAACCCTACTTCCTGAGGAGCATTACATAGAAGAATTGGAATAGAACATTGTTTTGAATTTCTCACTGAGGCAAAAACATCCCTTTGTGCTACTCCTTAAAGATTTCTGTGGAAGATGATTTTAGCACTTTGAAAATAGAACATATGGAAACAGTCTCCATTTGGTCAGAATAATCATCAGAAACCACCTACTGAATATATGTGCAGGGCTCTGATCTTGTAAATCAGAATAAGATTCTAAATCCTTAGAATAGGAATTGTATTAATATTCTTTCAGAAGAAATTATAAGGTACCTGGGACTGAACATATTTTTTTAAGATTGGCATGAAACTGTATGGTAGTTTTAGGTCTGGGATGAGCCTGCGCATTTATGTTTTATGAACTAATGTGACAGTGTAGAATATGCTGTGTATGTGGAAACCACCTTCCTCAATTTGGTGGTTTTATATAATGGAAGTCCCATCTACCCACACACCACAGCTGTGGAAATGAAGTTACACAATGAAGTTGACAAGATAATTATAGTTTAAGTAAAATAAGTTTGCTCAAGCAGTAAGTTTCTTCTTAACAGATAGTTCCTAAACATGTTAGGAAGTTTTACCCTTCACATACTTAAACTTTTGATGAGTAATATTTAGACAAAGGAGACAACCTTAAGATTTGAAATTGCCGTGTTGTAGGTTTAATCTTCTTCTGTATGTGTTAGGATAGTATCTTCATCTCTGGATTGTGTGGATTAAATGGCTCAACATAAATAACTTAACAGTCTGTGGCATAGAATAAGTGTTTAGCAAGTGTTTCCCCCAATTCCTTTGATTCCCAACAAAAGCCATTCTTGTGCGCTTTCAAAGCAGACTTGAACAGAAATCAGACAGGTTATTGCTCCCTTTCCCATAAAGGACAATTAAACAGCAATTGTTTTCCTAAACACAGTTTGATGGGTGTGTGTTTGTTTCCAGTGCTTTTGTTGTCTTTTCTTGCAGTCATTGTTTAAGGTTTACATTTTTATTGGCTCTTTCAGCAAATTGAGAGAGGCATTTTACCATGGGTAAGCAACTTAATGCCTCCCACTGGACAGTCTTCATTTACATTTGAGCTGCTCATGATGTGTCCTGTCAATCACTGATGTAGGCATACCCTGGGTGTGTGTAAGCTATTGCCCTAATTTGTGCTTAAGTTTCAGTAGTGGCTTTACTGGAATGTATATTAGCTAACAATATGAATTGGGTAGAACTGCTTGGGTGAAAATACTGACCCAATTGCTTTCTGCCTTGAGTGAATTTAAAATCTTACTGGACCTCAGTTTTCTGGACTGTATGGTAAGGACTATCTGCCTTGTAGGGTTTGTGAAGATTAGATTAGTTAGCACACTCAAGTGCTGAGGATACTTCCTCACACAGAGCACTAAAAAAAGTGTTACTCTTGAAGTAATTTGTATTATTAATGTACATCCTGAACTTGAGTCGTTTGTGTGTACCTTCCTATGTATAATATATTGACTTCAGAATAGCTGTCATTGGGCCGGGCGTGGTGGCTCACGCCTATAAACCCAGCACTTTGGGAGGCCGAAGCGGGTGGATCACGAGGTCAAGAGATTGAGACCATCCTGGCCAACATGGCGAAACCCTGTCTCTACTAAAAATACAAAAAATTAGCTGGGCATGGTGGCGCACGCCTGTAGTTCCAGCTACTCGGGAGGCTGAGGCAGGAGAACTGCTTGAACCCAGGAGGCGGAAGTTGCGGTGAGCCAAGATTGTGCCATTGCACCCCAGCGTGGGTAACAAGAGCAAAACTCCGTCTCAAAAAAAAAAAAAAAAAAAAAAAAAAGAATAGCTGTCATTAAAAACCAGTATACTCTGCTTAAGGCTACTCTCACTTTTAGGCAGCCTAAGGAGTCTTTCCAGCAGGATTCAGATGAGTATAGGCCTTTCTCTTTGTTTCTTAAATATACCTCTTTTCACTTTTTGCTCTCACCATCCTAGTTATCTTTGTTGCTTGTTAGATGATTACTACATATTCTCACCATTCTCTCTGTTCTAATATATTCTGCATTCTGATGGCAAATTTTCTATGAAAGTGAAGATTATGCCACTATCTCCTCTTAAGTGGTTAATGACTTTCCATCAATTATAAGATTAAAACAAACTCAGGTGTTTGGTATATAAAACATTATATGCAGCCTTATGCTTATGCTTATGCTTATGCTTATGCTTAATGGTCCTACAAAACTGCACTCCTCACTATACACAATTGTATTTTCCCTTGTCTTGTCCGCCACATTTCCCTTAGCCAGGAAATGCTTTCTCTGCTAGACCTCAATATCCATTGAAATCCTGTCCATTGGTAAAGCTCCCCTCAAACACAAGTGTTCTCTGTGGAGCCCATTCTGAGTCCTCTACCTGGTTGTGGTTTCTCTCCCTTTCACCCCAACTAGTAAACCCCTTCAGGATTTTAAAGCTATGGGACTAGTTTCCATAAGTTGCTTTATGGCTCTAGAGACTGAATTTTCATGTGTTTCATGTATAGCATGACTACTTATTTGAAAAACAGGTGCAGTTGCTCAAAAGGTTTTTTTTTTTAATTACCATTCTTATTTACATCCATTTTGTTATATTACTTTCTCCTTTTGCCCAATCTTTTCATTAGTGTCACTGAAGTAACAAAAAATACAGAATACTAATAGATTTATTTTAAATGTTATATCTTTAGAATTGTCCCTAAGTCAATCTACCAAAATTTAGTATTCCAGAAAAACAGATTTCCTCTTTTCTCTCTTTTGTTGAAACTGCTTCTCCAGTTAGTTGGTCTAGTTAATGTTGTGTCTTTCTCATTAAGTGAAATTATTTTCACATAGTAACTTAGTTAACAAAGCTGTTTATTAGTGGAGACTTTCTGATTGATAGTGGTGATTAAAAAAACACCAACACACATTTTCTGCATCTCTTATTCCTTGTCCTTTTAGCAAAAATATTTTTGTGAATTATATCCTTTTTGGTAGAGTTCAAATAATTTTAATGTGTTAATTATTTCTGTAGCCTGATAGACTGTTTTTTGTTGGACTCGGCTCCTCTGAATGTTTCTATGTCTCCTACTGGAGACTTTCTGGCAACTTCCCATGTGGACCACCTTGGAATTTATCTGTGGTAAGTTCTTTCATACAGTGCTGTTTTGGGATAACGAAGATTGTATGGTCAGAGAGTTATAGTTGCTAAAGTGGTCTTTAAATGGAAATGTCACAAGTTAATGTAAATACTTAATTCACTATAAGTCTGTGATTGAGTCAACATCTGCTTGATAATGTAGACCGCTTTGCTTAAGTATATGTTCTAAACCAAATGATTGATTTTTATCTGTTATCGTATTTGGCTTTTATTTGCAGAAAGAATAAGTAAGTTTTAAAAGTTTAGCAAAAAGGAGTTCTCAGCCAAGCCATGGTTCACCTGCCAGTGTCCCACTACTGCTTTATGACCTTGGCCAGTCACTTCTGAACTTCAGCCTACTTGTCTATAAAAAAGGCACAAGTATAAGCAGAATACTTTCTGAGATTCATTCTAGTTGCATGACTTTTCATAAACATGTAAAGATCCAGGAGGCTGAGGCAGGAGAATTGCCTGAACCCGGGAGGCGGAGGTTGCGGTGAGCCGAGATTGCGCCATTGCACTCCAGCCTGGGTAACGAGCGAAACTCCGTCTCAAAAAACAAACAAACAAACAAACAAACAAAATGTAAAGATCTTTATATGATCTTCAAATTCTCTTATGATGAACTTATAAGGGATTATGATAGCTCATAATAAATAGAACATCACCTGTGTTTAGAAAAAATTTTGTCTCTTTCCTAACTTTATATATCTAATTCTTTTAACTATTATTATTGGGTAAAAGAAAGAATTGATTGTAAAAAACATTTAATTATAAAATGCTATAATTGTATTTGAAGATACAAAGCAATTTTAACATATAATAGAAATAGACCCTGTTCACCTTAATTTGTAAAATGGAGCATCTCCCGGAATCCATGAGGCTACAACAATTTAGAAAAGAATAGTAGCTATGAGACCTCACAGCAGGAGTATGGCCTTTCTCTATAAAGTACTGCTATTAATAACTCAAAATCTGAGAGTCTCAATTTTAATTTTCTATTCCAGCTTCATAAAGTGTGGGGAAAAGAAACCTGTCCCCTACTTTGGGACAGGTATCCACATCTTCATTAGTCATTCATGGCCAAGGTGCAGACTGAGTAGCAGAAATATGGCTACTTAGAGGGATATTCTAGAGAAGGGGAATCTATGATCTTTCAGCAACTGCAAGAATATGCTCAACACAGTCACGCTCTGACTTACTCTCTGAGTTCATTTTTCCTTCTATTCCAGTATCCTTAAATAAAGGTTGATATATGTCAAAACAATATATGAAAGTTATTTTGCCTTATAAAAGTATTATCTGCTACTGGTCTGTCTTTAATACTACGTCAGGAAAGAGACTCGATAATTTACATAGCTTTATTATCTATAATGGCATCTATGAAATAAGTCAAGGCATTTTTAAATTGATACAGTCTATCTTTGAGGTCTTTTTTTAACTAATAGAAGTCTGTAGTCAAATTTAAGATTGTAGAGTATTTCCCTGAAGAAACTTTTTATAATTTTTGAAATATTGCTTATGTTTTGTTTTCTCAGGTCCAATATTTCTCTGTATTCAGTTGTTTCATTACGGCCACTTCCTACGGATTATGTCCCCTCAGTAGTAATGCTTCCTGGTACTTGCCAAACCCAAGGTAATCACAAAATTGCAAGTAATTTTTGAGGTGTAATATTATAAACCTAATATAGGAGATACTGCTACCAAAGGCAAAGTTTAGTGCATTCAACCAAAGTGTTTTTTAACCGATATAGAAAAGACTTTGAATGACTTTGTGAATTTATGCAGAAATATAATCGATGTGGCATTGATAATATATCAAATAGTATACCAGTGAAGAAGGTATTTTGGGGCTAGTGATGGGAGTTATAGTTAATATGAGAAAATAAGAAAAAGACAGGGATAAGGAAATGAAATTAATGAACAGTTTACAAGGCTGCATTGAGTGAACATGTTATGAAACACAGATTAATTTGAAATGAATTAAATTGCTTTTGTATGGTAAAAATCTCATTTTGGGTTAATTTGTTTTACCTGAACATTTTTTAAAGATGTAGAAGTATCAGAAGAAACAGTAGAACCAAGTGATGAAATGATAGAATATGATTCACCAGAACAGTTGGATGAGCAATTGGTGACTCTTTCACTTCTTCCTGAGTCACGATGGAAAAACCTTCTTAATCTTGATGTTATTAAGGTAATACTATAGTACACTTAATTAATGCACTTAATAGACCCTAAGCATGCATCCAGAAGCATTTTTATGTTTTTAAGCAGAGAGAACTTCCCCTACTTTAAGGGCATTAGGAGGAGCAGTTAATATATAAGATAACAGTGACAATTCCATTTAATCAAGTATTATTTAATATGGTGTGATTATCACAAGATATTCATATTTATGTCAACTTTGAGAAACTCAGCAGACATTTGGATGTGGCAAAAGTTCAGCCTGTATAGAGCTATTGGAAACTGATCCTTTAAAATCCAGCCTAAGAAATCACTTTTATATAAGTTTCTAAAACATGCGGGAACAAAAAATAGCTATTATAATGTATTTCTACTGGTAGGCATTTGACGACCAGAGAAATTTCACTAGGTTTTCATTTTATTAAGTTAACCCTTTATCTCACACCATGCCCTGTCTTACACCATACTCTGTCAGCTACTGAAAGATTTTTAGAACTTGCTGTATCAGGGACAGATACATAAGTTAACATGAACTAGGTACTAAATAATGTACCTGGAGAGTATGGTGGTGAAGAAAAATCCTAGCCCCTATGTCCTTGAGGAATTTATCATTATGCATGAAAAATGGACAACTATGGTATAGATTAGTATTTTTTTAGAGTATGTTTTATGACCCCCACTAGTGAGTAACAAAAACTACCAAAAGGAATACAATAGAGTGAAAAATTTCAGGTTACCTTTTGCTCATGAATGCAAGTATTGTTTGGTGAAACTTGAGTTGGTTAGACATACACATACACTAGATCCGCTAGGTGACTTAAGTCACAGTATAGGCTCTGGTAAAAAGTTTAAGGAACACTGACATAAGTAACTAACAAGATGTAACTATCCTCGTAACTAATAACACAAGAAAGGAAATGTGTGTCTTGGATAACGAAAGAGAAGTTTTCATATTACATTTCCTCACAGAAGTTAAAATTGCTTCTGTTTACTTGCTAACTTTTTGAGAGATTAGTCATCTGTATAAAGGTGTGCTGTCTAGAAGCATGGTGTCGAATCTTTTCATAATGGTGTCCACACTGTCAGCTTTGAAGGGAGTACATTATGAAATAGTTCAAATGCAGGGCATTAAACTACAAGGAGATTACTGTGAGGGGAGCAATCAGAATAATGCTCAATTAATTGAGCTCAGTTTTCGGGCTACTGTGGTCCTCAATAAGATGGCAGTGTGTACTACATAAAATGTTGTATCAAAACATGAGTGGATTATCTTTGTGAGAGGAATATGCTAAAATCTCTAATATTTTTATTTTCTATTAAATAAGAATGTACCAAGATAATGATTTATATTTGTCCTGTGGATAACTTCTATTTTTGCTTTTCTTTGTGAGATTAGATAATTTTCAGGGCACTATGGAGTTCCTCCAAAGCCTTATGGTTTTAACAAATCAGTGACTGTCCCCTTTCTAACTCAAGAATGGTGAGTTAGAATGGTAACTGTGACTCCTTACAGTCTCCATCATCCTAAAGGGCTCTATACTACAGTTGGCAGTGCTTTGTCCTGTGTTCACGTAATCATTTTCTTTTATGCCATGGCTCCACTTTGGAATAGAAAGTCTGCCTAAAGCTGCAGAGCTCCTAAAGAATAGAAGAATAATGTGAGGTGAAATTGTGAGACTTCTTTATCAGGCACTTTACCATAGAAAGGCTCTTTCATCAAATATTCCTGAGAGGCAGGGTGCGGTGGTACATGCCTGTAATCCCACCACTTTGGGAGGCCAAAGCAGGCGGATCATTTGAGGTCAGGAGTTTGAGACCAGCCTGGCCAACATGGTGAAACCTTGTCTCTACTAAAAATACAAAAATTTGCTAGGCATGTTGGTACACACCTGTAATCCCAGCTGCTCAGGAGGCTGAGGCAGGAGAATTGCTTGAACCCAGGAAGCGGAGGTTGCAGTGAGCTTACTGCATTCCAGCCTGGGCAATGGAGTGGAACTCTGTCTCCAAAGGAAAATGTTCCTGAGATACTGATATGTATTAGTGTACTCACCAAAACAAAATTCTTTCAGTGGAAATTGCAATGGAGTTTTTCCTTATATAATTTTTCTAGCATTTGAAATATTTACAAACCAGCAATCATGTTTTCTTGCATTTTAAAAGCACAGAGTACTAAGGAAAAATAAAAATTCCAATGAAATAGAAGAATTAGAGCTGTACTTTGCAGGAAGATTATCAAATTATTTATAATGTCGGTCTGCTTGTGGCTCCAAAGTTCTTCTGGAGAAAAGTAATTTGAGAAACTCTTTTCTATTAAGAATTTATGTAAATTTTGCTTTCCATCCTGTTTTATGAAAGAGTTTGTACTCAATACAAAAAGAAGTTTATTTAAATATTCACATAAATATTCATATTTTAGGAAGATTAGCTTTGTTCATCTTAGAATTTCTCCTGTGTCCTTGGTAGAATTTCTCCTGTGTCACTTTTTTTCAGCCTGTCAGGAAGGGTGCAAGAGATCTGCATTGGAAATTCCAGGTTAAGGTTAGATCTGGGTATTGGTCAGAAGAGATTGTATTTTAACTTTCTATGAGTTTCATCCCTCCTTTCTTTTTAGTATTTTTTTTTAAATTGATTTAAAATTAAATATTAGAAATTGTTGGCAGGATAATTGCTGTTTTTCTTTCTCATTTTCTCTTAATCAGAAAAAGAATAAACCAAGGGAACCACCCAAAGTACCCAAATCAGCACCATTTTTCATTCCAACAATTCCTGGCCTTGTACCCAGATATGCTGCACCTGAACAAAATAATGATCCTCAGCAGGTAAAAGACAAATTAGAACATTTGAAGTATATGAGTGTATGTTTATTTGTATGTGTTTTGTGCACTTCTTTACAAGACCTAGTTTTACAGATACAGGATAAATTAATGATAGCTTTTAATTACAAACTGTACATTTTTGGATGTTACATGTATTATTTGAATAATGTGTATTTGTTTTTGTTTAAGTCTAAAGTGGTAAATCTTGGAGTTTTGGCTCAAAAATCAGATTTCTGCTTGAAACTTGAAGAAGGACTGGTAAATAATAAATGTAAGTTGAATTATAAAATATTTTAACAAATATCTTCAGCTTATTTTACTTTATATGAGGAGAAATTGAAAGAAGTATTATCAGAGTTCTCAGTAGTTAAGATAGTGAACATTAAAATGATTGAAATTTTGGTTTTAATTTCAAGTAATTTTAGCTCTTAAATAAGTTCACTAAACTCAAATGGTATTGATATTATAAAAATCTGTTCAAGATTTTTCATATATCTAATTTATTTTTTACTATTTGGAGATGGACACATTTATTGACTACATTTATAATAAGGAGATCCTTCTTGATGTGAATTAAGTATAAAAGTTTGGTATGTCATTTTTGTATCAGAAAATTTGCAAGCCTTTGGTTTTTATTTATAATTTGTAATACAACAGACTGCTTAGATGATTTCATATATTCGCAAATTATTCTATTAAAAGGGAAATGTTTTAATCTACCTCTTCTGTTAATATATTTAAATTTTGAAGGCTACAATCTGTAGCTAATAGTGATTAGCCATAAGAACTGTAATCACTTAAAAAATCATGGTCACTCTCCTGATAATTTTAACTTATCCTCTTGTTTTGATTCAAATGCTTTTGTTTTCATACCAAGATCACTTGAGTCCACATTAGCAAAAGTCAAAGAATGATACTAATGAGCCTTTGTAAATGACTTCTTAATGTTTATGGGGAGACAAAGAAATAAAAACACTGTTGTTTAATATATGCTGAAGGATCTAAAATTGATTAGACTTTTGTCATTGGTGATGTTCTTTTTCAGAAAGCTAAAGCATAGTCATTGCAATTCTCATATTAAGTGACTTATAAAAATAGCTGTAAGTGTATTGAGTATGTTTTCCTGGGGTGCATATGAAACAACACTTCTAGGGAGAAGAAGTAGGTTTGGGCTGGGTAAGAATAAGGGGTGAGGTCTTTCCCCTCTGATTTTATATATTTCTGTATTGTTAGTATTAAATTTCCTAATGATTATGTACTTTTATAACTTTATAACAATAAAAAAGAAAAATAAATTATTATACCTCATCAGATTCCCACTGCTAACCACTATTAATACTTTTGCTTGTATCTTCATAGCCTTCTTATATTAGGATTTACTCAGAGAGAGATATGGGCATTTTTAAATTTTAAAGTGTCTGTTGTGAGGCATTAGATTCTCTTTAACAGGAAAAAAGGTTAAATTACAGAAAAAAAGTGTTTTAAGTACTTTCTTTTTTATTGCTGTCATCATTTGTACTGATTTTCATTTATTTTGAATTTCATTCTACTACATAATATGAAAAAAATTAATTGACAGGAAGAATTTCCCATGCCATTTAAATATATCCTGTTTGGGGTATGGAAGGAAAACTGTAGTTTTCTATGTCAAATGATTATAATCAAATCATAACTGGACTCTTTTTAAAATTTAATGCAGATGACATGGCTCTCAACCTTCTGAAAGAATTAGGCCCATCAGGAATTGAAACAGAGCTGCGAAGCTTGTCTCCTGATTGTGGTGGGTCTATAGACGTCATGCAGAGCTTCTTGAAAATGATTGGGATGATGCTGGACAGAAAACGTGATTTCGAGTTAGCCCAGGCATACCTTGCATTGTTTCTAAAGGTAAGTCTAATGTCAGATGGTACTGCCCAGCTTTTCTTCCTCTGTGGCAGTGCTATCTAATAGAACTTTCTGCAAAGATGGGTATGTTCTATACCACCCTTTCCAATATTGTAGCCACTTGCCACATGTAACTACGGAATACTTGAAATGTAGACAATGTGATCAAGAAACTGAATTTTTAATTTTATACAGTTTAATTAATTTAAATTTAAATATCCACATGTGGCTATTGACTACTACATTGGACAGCTGGACAGTACAGCTTGGTCGTCTTGTTTTCCTTTTTTACTCAACTGCACAACAATTTTGACTTTACCCCCTGACTTGATGCTATCTGCTTGAACCAATGTGCTGAACTAGTAACTTTTCTTTTTCCAGTGGCTAGTTACATTTTGAAAGTTTTTTATGATTGTGAATAGAAAATCGGGTTTTGTTTGTTTTACTACTGAAATCAAAATATTTACTTCTGTCCTTGGTAAAGGAGTTTTGATCATTTGACAATAAGAGAGTTATTTTAAGGTTAGTATAGTAGAGAACTCATGTTTTGAGGGTCTGCTTTAATGGTATAATGTGTTGAAAGAGGTAGATGATGCCAATTTTCGGTGATAATAGATTTGATTTTTATCCCATTCATACCTAAAATGAGTTCAGTTGACCTAATTATTTAAAAGTTAGATATTTAGGAAGTGACATGTAGGATTAAAATACAGAAATGCCACAAATTGTCTCTAAATCTTTTTCCAAAGTTGCTAAGCGTTAGTTCCCAAATATGAATTTACTGAAATTTTAGAAGATAAAGGACGCTATCTGCCATTTATTACCAGTGGGGTATATGAGAGGAAAAACATACAGCAATGTGGAAATGTGAATTTAGTGTTAGAACTAGGACCTTGTTTCTGGATCTGTATCAGGACTGTCTTAAGGTGGAGAAGAGTGATGACCACTTTAATTCTACCAGAGAAGCAACAGTACCATAAAGGAGCTTATAATAAAAAAAAAGTTTGATAGAGGAAGGGAAAATGGGAGATAGGAATAAACCAACACTTAAGAAAAAAGTATACAGATAATGTCTTATGTGGTTCCTTTGGTAGAAAAATTGAATCCAGATTAGTTAAAATTTTAATTGTCTTAAATGTTAAACCGTCATATTTTTTTCATTGCAGTTGCACCTTAAAATGCTTCCTTCAGAGCCAATACTCCTAGAAGAAATAACAAATTTGTCATCCCAGGTGGAAGAAAACTGGATCCATTTGCAATCACTCTTCAATCAAAGCATGTGTATTTTAAATTATCTCAAAAGTGCTTTGTTATGAAAATAAATTTGTGACTAAACAAATCAAAAGACTTACATATTAAATAGGTTCAATTGAACTCATTTCTTATTTTCCAAGTGTCAATGTGAAAAGAAAATAATATAATTTTTAAAAAATTATTACCTGCTTATGTTTTTTGAGTATCTATCTCATATAAGAGATGCTGCATGTTCACTGTGAAGTATTGCTGAATTAAATTGAAAATGTCAGATATAAGAGCAGCCTAGTGCTTTCTCCATTGTAACATACCGAAAGGAAGTTGTTCATGGATCAGAAATGTGGGAGGCCCTTCCTTGCCCAAGGCAAATTGCTATAGACATTTAAACTGATAACAAGGATAGGTAAGGGAAATTCCAAATTCCATTGGAAGTTGGCCTTCAAAGGTTTTCCTTCCTCACTGATGACCTTTTTATTTGGGAAGAAACTGCTGAACACACTTTTCTTTCGACACCAGGTAGCCCTGGAGTTTTCTTTTTTTCCTCATCATCATTTTGGTTTTTTTTATGGCCCAAGACTTTTGCAATACATGAATTAAACATAAGCAGTTCTTTAAAGCACGGTGACCTAAAAACTATTCTTAGTTTATATACTTAAAAGTTGAGTCTTTCATGAAATGCAGTGGGTTGAATACAAACACCAGTAGCGTCTTGTTCAGATAAGAGAGTTGCAGGGAATAATCTCCAGAAGAAGCAAAAGGCATTTACTGATGATACCTTTAATGTTCATGTTTTTATTTAATGATGTAAAAATTAGTAAACTACTAAGGAAATAAACCAATCTGGTTATTGTACAGAATTTCAGGGTTTTTTTTGAGAAAGTGTATTGACTTATTAAAGCCACTGATGGAAATGTTAATAATGACTTAAGTTCTAACTTAAAAAACCATTATATTCCTCTTTCCTAAATACTATATTCTAAATTGGAATATGGCAAAATTCCAATATATAATTCTGTACCTAGTAAAGCTTGTAATCACTAAAACAAAATAAGCGCTGTAAACTGAAATTGTATTGCTTATACAAATCATCAACCAAATTTTCTTCTCTTTTTAAAGTGAGCATATAGACTAGTGTATTGCTCTCGGAGATATACATTTAGGTAGTATTACATCATCATTTTGGCAGGTAATCTTCTAGACTTTTCATGTATGTTTCCATCAAGGGCAGGAAAGAAATACAAAATATAATTTTATTTGTCTGTATTTTCCTTAAAAATATATCAATCTGTGCATACTGGTTTATCTTTAAATTTTTAAATTACACATGTAATATATGACTACATTTTGGTTGTGTACTTTTTTGAAAACCATCTTCAGTCCCAATACCCTCTGTAGAAGAAAATTATTAACTCTCCTTGATCTTGTTTTAGACTGTTTTTATGAGTGTTTAAGAACGTGTATATATTATCTGCAGCCGCAGGAAATGTATAGTTGTGATTTTTACGAACATATAGGTATATGATTCTACAGCTTGCTGTTTCTACTCGGGAGTTTTTTATTTTTGTACATTCACAGTTACGTAATCTCTTTTGCAGTGTCCAACAGTCTATTTGCCTATGACAGACACTTAAGGAAGTTTTCCTTCTTTTTTTTTCCTTTATAATTACAAACAATGCTGAAAGGAACATCATTCTACATGAGCCCTTTTTGTACATATACGGATTTCTCTGTAGTATATGATTAGGATTTCAATTTCAGGATGGAGTATAAGCATTTTTAATTTAAAGAGATAACTTCCATTTGGCTTCCACAATGGCTGGATCAAGTTATAGTTCCCCTCAGCAACAAATGAGAATCTGCTTCCCCACATAATTAATGAAACTTGCTATTAGATTTTTGTAATGCTTATTAATCTAATTAAAAATTTATTTTTGTTTTAGATCAAATTTCTCACTAGTGAGGATGGACATATTTTTGTATGTTTATTTTAGAACATATAAACATATTTGTGAATTGTCTTTTTCCTCTACTCATTTTTCTATTGAATGATTTGTCCTTTTATCTCACAGATTTGTTAGGAGTTCTCTTGTATTTTCTGTGTTAATCTTTTATGCCTGTTGCCAGTGTTTTCTCCTACTTAGCCATTTAGCTTTAATTTTACATGGCGTCTTTTTAAATAAATGTTTATATTTGTGTACAATCAAATTGATTAATTTCATGACTTTTACTTCAAGATATAAAGCAAATTATTATTATTTTTTTTGAGACAGAGTCTTGCACTGTCGCCCAGGCTGGAGTTCTGTGGCCTCGGCTCACTGCAACCTCTGCCTCCCGGGTTCAAGCAATTCTGCCTCAGCCTCCCGAGTAGCTGGGATTACAGGCACGCAACACCATGCCTGGCTAATTTTTTGTATTTTTAGTAGAGACAGGGTTTCACCTTGTTTGTCAGGCTGTTCTGAAATTCCTGACCTCGTGATCCACCCGCCTCAGCCTCCCAAAGTGCTAGGATTACAGGTGTGAGCCATCGCACCTGGCCAAAGCAAATTATTTTCTAAGACATTTACAGTATATATGTTCTTATGTTTACATGTGTTCATTTCACATTTCACATTTATCATGTTTTCCTCTACGACATGATTCTGTGTGAGTAATGTGTAGATCTTTATCTAGAATTGATTTTTGTGAAGAGTAAAACAGAGCGCTGCCTCCAATGTCTATTCAAAACTCATTTATTGAAAAGTCCACTCTTAATGTCCGATTCGAAATGCTACTTCATTATGTGTTAAATTCTTTCATTGAGCTATTTGATATTCCTAATAATGTATTACTTTGATTATAGTTTGGTATGTTTTCAGATTTGGGGCAAAGCCTTCCTAAAGTTTTATAAAAATTTGTTGACTGCCGATTAGCATATCTCTTGAAGTTTTGATACGGGTTGCACCACATTTACAGGAGTAATTTGGAGAGACCTGTAATACTGAGCACAGTCCTCCCTTGGTATCCAGCTCCAGGACTCCTGTGGATACCAGAATCCAAGCAGGTCCCACGTATGCATATGAAACGTTAGCCCTTGTATTTGAGGGTTTTTCATCCCTCAAATACCATATGTTTTATTTGTGTTTGGTTGAAAAAAATTTTGCATATAAGTGAACCTTTGCATTTCAAACCTGTGTTGTTCAGGACCACCTGAATTTCCCTTCAAGAACAATGAATGTCTTCATTAAATCATCTTTTGTGGGAGAGCTTTTGATTTCATGGATTTTCATATATATATAATAAATATATAAAATAAACACTTTTGACATTCTGAGAATTTTGTTACTATAAGGAAATTTCATTTTCTAATACATATGATAATTGGTTGTTGCTGTTTGTGGTAAAATGATCTGATTTTTATATTCCAATCTCAGCTGCCGAACACTTTGTCAATACAGTCTCACTAGAAAATCCAAAAGAATTTTATCTTCTGCAATTGATGAGACTTTATTTCCTAGCCAATATTTGTGTACTTGAAATTTTTGTGTATTAGAAGTTTTATACTTTAAATATATGCCCTTTTTAAAGATAAAAGCACTGAGGATAGAAAATATGTAGACTGGTTGAAATATATATTTTGTATTGTATGAAAATAAATATAATTTAAAAGCTGTTATAATCTCCAAAACATTTTAAGCCTTGAGAGAGATATGACTTTGATCTCAGTCACATATGGCTACTTCTTTTTCTCTTTCTTATTTTGCTTGTTCTGTGCAACGACTAGAGATAATTAAATGATGTCAAGAAGAAAAAAACCTCTTGCCTTTTTAATGACCTTGTTATAGATCAATTTCCCCTTTATAATCCTGCTTTGCTTAGACCAGATGTCAGAAAACCTACAAGTATTTCACCCTCTATAAAAAATGCTAAATGTACCCTTCCCCCCAAAAAATCCATAACCAATCAAATTCCTATAACTATTTCCCAACCTTGTATGAATAATGTTATAATCCTGCTAAAAGAAACTCCTCTGTCTCTGCCTACATAAATGAAACCTTAACTTCTCTACTTTAGAATACTGACCCTTTGGAGTTGGTGTTTCCGGGTGGGCTATCCTTAAACTTTGCACATTTATAAACTCTCTTTCAATTAGATTCATACCCTTTTTATTATTTTAGGTTGACATAAACAGCTCGTTAAAAAATTTGGGACGGCCATGGTTTTGCACTGAGCTTTCTGCACTGGGTCCCAGCAGACCAGACCAAACTATAATGAAGTCACTTATGCTGAATGCCAGAAACTTCAGTGAAACAGGTAGATTCCAAAACAGATCATTGTTACCTTTGAAAACAGGCGATTTCAGTCTACCTGAGTCAGCACACTAAGGTAGTCTCTTCTACTTTAAGCCTTACAAAAAAGTAACCTGATGTTAACCTTTTTTCTCTAGTGTTCGATTTCCTTGTTCTCACCTTATAAAACCCCCTGTTCTGCTCTTGCCCAGTGGGAGTTCTCATTCCACTTTATAGAATGAAGGGCTTCCCTAACGAATGGTGAATAAAAGCCAATTAAATTTATAACTTGTAAATTTGTTTTCTGACAAGCTAAATGAGCATTAAATAGTCAAAGTGCCCAGGGACAGCCAGGTCATTGAGACAAGATTTTACTAATGTGTTTGCCTGCAAGGCAGATGTTAATATTTTTTAAATTATATTTTCTATCGTGTTATTTAGGACTCGACTGCAAATTATTATCTTTAAACAGGAAGGGAAATTTAAGAATTCAGGAATACTGGATTATCTAATAAGGGTTAGGTCACTTTGTTTTCAGGAATTTTTTGTAACCTGTGACACAGAAATGCAAGAAGTACTCCTTGAATTCTGCTTTTCTTTGCAGAGTGCTTCATTCCTTTGATTGGGTTTTTCCTCTGCAACCAGTACCTGCCAAAGGCAGTCAACAATCCACTTGATATGCAGCCTCTTCCTAGAGTTTGAGATTGCACACTGGTAACTAAAAACCCTCCCATCTGGGTCCTAAGTCTTCCCCTCATTTATCACACTTCCCTTTCTTCATCTGGAGAAAGAGGAATCCCTTTGTTTTCTTTTTATAAGCTTTTCACCACCCTCTGAGGACAAAAAAGCTTCGCCCACCCCTAAACACCCCCACTTTCCTGTCTTCATCTCTCTCATAACTCTGTTATGCTAAAGTGAAGATTACATTTTTAGAGGATGGAAAGCTATCATGTCACTGAAAAATCCCATTTTTGAATGATATATTGTGTATTCGCATAGTATTTCACCTTACAGCCCTGCAAAAAAAAAAAGTAGTCTCCTTCCAATGAGAAAGTTGCCTCAATCTCAGAAAAGGTGATATGTTTGGAAAGGCAAAGGAACAAGACCACATCAGTCTTTAAAGAATTATTCTTATACATTTTTGGTCATTATTAGTCTTATTTGTGCTCTGCAGACTCTTGTTTTATGATGTTAATAGTTTGAGATCCTGAAACTCTCAAGCCAAAATAGTTTCCAAGAGTAAACTCACTGACTGAGATATAAATTTGATACAATATAAGGCATATACCTTGCAGTCCCCCCATTAAGGCTAAACCATGGACTTACTGCAAGGGAAAGCGAGCAGTGATATTAGAGAAGGTAACAAACAGTATAGATCAGTGGTTCTCAAAGTGTGGTTCCCCAATTAGCAATATCAACATCATCTGGGAACTTAGAAATGCAGGCCCCACTGTAGAACTACTGAAATAAAAACTCTGTGGGTAGGGGCTAGCAATATGTGTTTTAACAAATCTCGCTGGTGACTTAATATAACTGAACTTAGAACTGGAGAAGGGAAAAAAGAAGGTTATGAGGCAAAATATTCTCACCTGTGATCCCTCTTCGTTCTAGGAAGAAACCTCAAGGAGGGAAAGTGAGGAAAAGGGTTGCAAGATAGGATTTGTAGACCCTGGCCCCAGATCTAGAAGTAAAAGGGGAAGAGGGAATGGAGGATTGGTTGGAGAAATCACTGGGTACATTAAGTAGAACTCCGGAGTTATGGGGCAAAGTCCTGACTCCCCTGGAGGAGATTGACTCACAGGCCTCTGTCCTGACATATGGTAGCCATAGTCAAGGGGTGTGACTTATGCAGAAAGAAATGATAGTGACAGCTCACAGTTTCCATGACTGTGGGTGACACTGGGAGGGCCCTGGAGGTTTCCACCTGCTCCCTGAGGGGAATGAGTGAGGCAGCTGGGAGTAGAATATCAACAGGCCTGCTGTAGAGCCCCAGTGGCAGAGTGTGGCTGCTCCACCGTGTGGCCCAGGTCGCATTTGGAAGACAGGCAGAGACTTAGGGCACAGGCTAGGTGGGACCATGGCCCTGGTGGAGGGAGATGAGAAGAGAGTCTGGCAACTCGGAAGGCACTCACACATGGTGAACCTTACTTTGTGAGGAAAGAAACAGACATGGTAGGGAATTTGAACATAAAATCTCACAAAGTATTATCCAAAAGAGCCTAAGCTAATGTGAAAGAGACTAAGTTACTTTGTAATTGGTAATTTTGTTCCCCATCCTAAATCTAGTAATATGAGGGCTTGTGGTGAAATTTAATCAGTTGGATATATAAAATAAAGAATTCTGTAGGGATCTTTTTTCCATTGTCTGTGTACAATATGCTGAATTTTCCAATTCCAATTTTGCTAATTTCCAATTCCAGCTGAATCTACTGAATGTCTCTGAAAAGGTACATAAAATATTCAAAACTTGGTTTTATCTCTATTTTGTTAAGATGATTTATTGACACTGCAGACATGTAGATAACAATAGTTTACTGTTCTCTGAAAATATAAAAATTCCATAAATCCTTGCAAACAATTTTTAAAAATTTAACAATATTGTTTATTACTACCACAGCCAAGAATGAATATTTCAAAGCCAGGGTTTTTGTTTTGTTTTGTTCGGCTACCCTTTTTTTTCCCCACTATCTCTAGCTAAATTCCAGTCTTTACTATTAATTTATTTTTTCTCATTTGAACTTTCACAGAATGATGTCTGCCTCAGAACTCTGGCCCTGTTTCCTCACTCCTGGCCACACCCTATTCTCTACAGTAAAATATGATGCAAGCCCAGTGGGTGACGGAATGGTGAGTGAGTGAGTTATTGAAGCCTGGACTCATGCTACCATGTGGATTTAATTTCCATGAAGCGTCATATACCAAAAAAGGAGTCACATACCT